GAAAGAAAGAAAGAAAGAAAGAAAGAAAGAAAGAAAGAAAGAAAGAAAAGAAAAGAAAAGAAAAGAAAAGAAAAGAAAAGGACAACTACTGGATAGGTCCTGGAGGAAAAAGAAGATACATTGATGTACTATTGGTAGAGCTGTGAAATGGTCCAATCATTCTGGAAAGCTATTTGGAACTATGTTCAAAAAGAGATCAAACTATGCATACCATTCAATGCAGTGATACCACTACTAGACCTATAACCCAAAAAGACCAAATAAAAAAGAAAAAGTCCTTTATGTACAAACATTTATAACAGCTTTAGTATAGTAGTAAAGAACTAAAAACTAAGGGCAAAGTACTAAGAAAAATTTAAGGAGGGAAAGATCAATCCCTTTCAGCTGTGTAGGAAAGAGGAGAGAAGTCTTAATGGAAGAGACAGATGGTTCATTTAGGACTTGAAGGAAAGATGGGATTTCAAAAAAGAGACTGAGGGATGGAAGAGTCTATGGCCATTTCAGGCATAGCACTAGCAAACGTATGGAGAGACTGGGGAAGACAGATTAAAAATACAGAATGGAAAGTAGTAGTCCACTCTGACTGAAATGTAGGATACAAGAAGGGGACAGAAGTAGGAGTTGTAGATAAAAAAAAAAAAGTAGGAGATAAAACTAGAATGGTAGATTGTAGCTTAATTTTAGAGGGCCCTTGAGTGCCAGGATCGGAAGGTTTTATTTTATACAATAAACAGTAAGAGGTCATTGAGGCTTTTGGATGATAGGAATGGCACATTAAGAATATTAATAGGGCAGAAGGGTGAAGAGCAGGTTAAAGAGATTAGAGACCGGAGGCAGAAAGAGCAGTCTAAGCAAGGGAGAAGGAGGGGACAAACATGAGAGATTCTGCAGACGGAATACACAGGTCTTGATAACTGAATGTGGAAGGTGAGCCAAAGTTAATAATGAGGTTTTGAGGCTGTGCAAATAGGAAGACCGTATTCCATCCACAAAAAGCTAAGTTAGGGAGGGGGGCCAGTCTAGTTCGGAAGATGAATCAGCCTGGGACACTTCGAGTTTGATGGGGGATAAGGAAAGACGGAGCCCACCAAATGGAAAACCAGGACCGGAGCTCAGGGGAGATACTGGGGCTCGTGTGCAGATCTGGGAGTCATCTTAATAAAGCTGACAATTGAACCCGGCGGAGTAGCTGAATGAAGTCACCAAGGTTTAGGGTGCACAGTCTTGGGGCCACCCAGGTTTAAGGGGCAGGAGGAGAATGAGGAACTTGCAAGAGTGACGGAGACAAGGACAGAAAGACAAGCCCTAGGGTGTGATGTCACCAAGGCGAAGGGACTGGAGCGGGGACGGGGGTGGGGTGGTGAGGAGAGCCTGGAAAGGAGTCACCTAGATCGGTCCCGGGTCAGGAAACCTCCCTAATCTTGGGGGTCCCTCTTCTTCCACGCTGCGGGGCCTCCTTGCTCCTCACTCCCCACTCCGCCCCCCAACTCCTTCAGCCCACTGCCGAAAGCGAGCAGCCTCCGGGAGGCCCCGGGAAGGGCGAAGAGGCGAGGCGGCAGGGAGCCTAAGCGAGGGTGGCCTGGGAGGTTGGGAGGGACCTGGCCCAGGGCCCGGCCCAGGCGAAGCGGAGAACTCACCAGATCCCGGCTCTCCAGACTCCCCAAACTCCCTCAGCTACCCAGCCGGAAGTTCCTGCCAGGAACAGTCAGGACAAGAGCGGAGATATCGCGCATGCTCACAAAATCACGCCCCCAGAACTACATCTCCCAGAAGGCCCCGCGGCATTTGATTTGGACTGATCGCTTTGTAGACGGCGAAATCGGCAGGTGAGCTAGGGAGAATTTCCTGCAGATCCCCCGGAGGAGAAATCTACATGAAAAGGGGGCAGATCTTTCTGGCACCCAGAAAATCGCCAATTAACTGTTCCTTCTCTTCCGAAGTGAGTTTTTCAACGTGCGGCTCTCTGTCCTGGCTGGACAGTTCAGTATCCAGGACCTCCTCCCCATATCGGGGTCTGCATTCTGTCCTCTGTCTCCGAAGCCTCTGGTTCGGTGTGGGTTTGGGGAGAACGCTGCTGGGATACCCCACTCCAGAAGAGCCCCAGGCCAGAGAGAAGATTAAGGAGGGAAGAGAGCTTATGGGCTCGGAGCGGGCTACGTGTGCCCCGTCCCCAGCAGCCCAGCTCCAGGCAGAAAAGAGCCTGTCTTCCTTTACTCACTTCCAGTGCAGAAACTTTCAATTCACAACCACAACCTGCGATCTGGGATTGACATTGAACGGTTTCCCCAAATTCTTTGCTTCTCTGTTAGGATCTCTGGTTCACATTGCTGGCTACCCATTGTATACACACACACACACAGAGCAGTAGAGAAGCCCAGCAATAGTAAAACCTTGGATATGTCAGCATATGCATACATACATGCATAGGTACATACATACATATATATACACACACATATAGATATATAGATACTTGGCAGTTTTATCCCTCATCCCCACCTAATCCACCCCTCCTTCCCCGGCTCCCCCACCCCAGTTTAAAGCCCTTTTGATTAGATTTGCAAGACTCTAGGAAAATACATTCTTTCTGGCCTGTTATATACATCCCAAGTCAGGAGCCCTTTACCTTATTCCAATATATTAAGCTGTTGTCCAGAAATCCAAAACCAATTCTCTATCACGATCTTTTTTATTTAAATATAAGGTGTTGCAAATATAATAAAAATGACAATTCTACCTGTTAATTTACTTATTCAGTGCCACACCAATCAAACTACTAAAGAATTATTTTATAGAACTAGAAGAAAAATAACAAAATTCATTGGGAGGAACAAAAGATCAAGAATATCAAGAGAATCAGTGAAAAAAAAATGTGAAGGAAGGAGGCCTAACAGTTCCAGATTTCAGACTATATTACAAAGGAGTAATCATCACAATAGTCTGATACTGGCTAAGAAATAGAGTGGTGTATCACTGGAATAGATTACGTACACGATAGACAGTAGTAAATGACCATATTAATTTAGTGTTTGATAAACCCAAAGATCCAGTCTTTGGGGCCAAGAACACAACATCTGACAAAAATTGCTGGGAAAACTGGAAAGTTTGGCAGAAACTAGGCATAGACCAACATCTCATACCATATACCAAGATAAGGTCAAAATGTATAAATGATTTAGACATAAAAGATAATATCATAAGTAAATTAGGGAAGCATGGAAAAATGTACCTGTCAGATCTACGAATAAGGGAAGAGTTTATGAGCAAACAAGAGATAGAGAGGATTACAAGAAGTAAACTAGATAATTTTTATTACATTAAATTAAAAAACTTTTGCACAAACAAAACTAATGCAGCCAAAATTAGAAGGAAAACAGGAAACTGGGAAAAAATTTTACAGCAAGTTTCTCTGATAAAAGTCTCATCTCTCAAACATATAGAGAACTAAGTCAAATTTATAAGCATAAGGAACCATTTTCCAGTTGACAAATGGTCAAAGGATATGAACAGGCAGTTTTCAGAAGAAATCATAATGTGCCATGGTATGGCACTCTTAAATCACTACTGATTAAAGAAATGCAAGTTAAAACAACTTTGTGGTACCACCTGACATTTATCATATTGGCTAACACAACAGAAATGGAAAATGACAACTGCTGGAAGGGATGTGGAAAAATTGGGACGCTAATTCACTGTTGATAGAGTTGTGAACTAGTCCAACCATACTGGAGAACAATTTGAAACTATGCCCGAAGAGCTATAAAAGTGTGTATACCCTTTGACCCAGCAATACCACTACTAGGCCCATATCCCAAAGAGATCAAATAAAAGGGGAAAGCACCTATTTTCACAAAAATATTTATAGCAGCTCTTTTTGTGGTGGCAAAGAATTAGAAATGGTGCAGATGTCCATCAACTGGGGAACAAGTTGTGCTTTATGATTGTGATGGAATACTATAAGAAATGATGAGCAAGGTGGTTTCAGAAAAGATTTCTATAAACTCATGCAAAGTGAAGTGAGCAGAACCAAGAGAATATTGTACACAGTAATAGCAATATTTTAAGAATGATTAAAGACAGCTATTCTGATCAAGTCAATGATCCAAGACAATTCCAAAGAACCCATGATGAAAAATACTATCCACTTCTAAGAGATGAACTCAATGCAGATTGATGCATATTTTTTCTTACTTTCTTTATCTTTCTTCTTTTATTTTTCTGTCTGTGTTTTCTTTTGCAACATGGCTAATATGGAAATGTTTTGCATGACTTCACATGTATTATTGATATCAAATTGCTTGTCTTCTCAAGGAAGGGAAGGAGTGGGAGGGAAGGAAAGAATTTGGAACTCAAAATTTTTTTAAATGATTGTTAAAAATTTTTTACATGTAATTGAGAAATATTTAACAAAATAAATATAAATATGTCAATAAACAAACATAAGGTGTTTCAAAAATCTTAGTGCAATTTTAAGCTATTCAGCACAGGTATCCAAATATATGAACAAGAATAAAAGAAAAGAAAACCAAGCATATAAGCTGGCACCAAACAACCCATTATTGCATAAAGAATGTATATGCCTGAAACTTCCATTATTTTCTGATTATTCCCACACCAAATGATGAGTATGTTGACTTTAATGTAGTGGTGCCCAACCTAGATACTCCAGGTGCCACCTCCTCTAACACTCTGAAATTATTCTCTGTGTGTATTATTTACAAAATATATGTTGTTTTCTCCATAGAATGCAAGCTCCTTGAGGGCAGAACTTGTTTCACCTAACACAGTACCTGGTAAAAAATAGATCCTAATGTTAGTTGATGACTGATTACTTCCCACAGACCTGTGGAAGCCTCATTCCCATCTCTATCCATTCGTGCTGAGCAGCAACCACAGGACAAGAATCAACAAGGACCACTGATTTAAAATGCTCAGAATCAGGCTTACACTGATACTAGATGTGTCCTCAGAGGAAGTACCAGGGCATCAGGGGCACAGAAGATCCCTGAGCTCAGCAAAAGGGCAGATAGACCTAGAGTAGAAGGATAATGGAAACTTTGGAATTTCTCTTGAGGTCTCTCCCTTGTTTTAGTACTTCTTGCTGCCTAGGACAGTGAGAAGGCTCAAGCTTTGCCTAGCCTTTTCCCCAATACCCTTTAACTACCTCTTTGTTCCCCTCTTCCTTTTCCTTATTTATCTTCAGCTGCTACCTTCCTTTGTCTTGGGTACAGCAAGCATCAGTTGACTATGGCAAGATCAGAAGTGAGGGAAGGAGGAGTCCTGTTATTTGTAAAAACTTTTTTTTCCCCAAAGCACTTGCATGTCTATTGTCTTTTGATAATTGATACCACTATTTGTTTTCATCCTGAAGAGTTAACAAAGGGTAGTTACTATTATATAGTTTAGGGGGAAACTTCCTATGTTCTTCTTTCAGTTCCTTTGAAACCTATTATTACAGGAATGAAAAACAATCTTTTCTCTAATCTTTTAGGAGGATATGATTTTTGTCTCCCACATCTGTGTTCAGGAAACTGGTGAAAGGAAAAAATGGGAGAACTGCTGACTCAGGCTACTAATATGTTAAAAATAAAAACGGTCTCCACAGGCTAGAATGTTAGACTGAATCTAATGAGATAAAATTTAATGGGGGTGAGGTTTAGGTTTTACACTAGAGTTCAATATATCAACTTCACGGGGCAGGTAGGTGGTGCAGTGGGTAGAGCATCGGCCCTGAAGTCAGAAGGACCTGAGTTCAAATGTGGCCTCAGACCAAACACTTGATGCTTACTAACTGTGTGACCCTAGGCAAGTCACTTAACCCCAATTGCCTAAAATTAAAAAAAAGAAAAGAAAAAAAAAACAGACTGACTTTGCTTTATTTTGGGCAGCTAGGTGGCGCAGTGGATAGAGCACCGGCCCTTAAGTCAGGAGGACCTGAGTTCAAATGTGGCCTCAGACCAAACACTTGACATGTACTAGCTATGTGACCTTGGGCAAGTCACTTAACCTCAATTACCTTACAAAAAAATAAGTAAATAAATAAATAAATCAACTTCACAAGTACTGGCAAGTAGTTTATCTGGAAACATGTTGGGAGCTGTAGTTCACTGCAAGTTCAACCATGAGTCAACATTATGCTATGGTAGCCAAAAGATGAGATCTTAAGCAGCAGTGAGAGTCATAGTATCCAGAACAAGAGAAGAGAGATAGTTCCAATGTACTTGACCCTGGTCAGACCACATCAAGAATACTGTGTTAAATTCTGTGTGTAACATTTTAGAAAGGTTCCAGCCTTTTCCTTTTTGAGGACATATTTCTTAAGTTCCCATTTTTCTTTCCTTATACATCTTTTTTTCACATTTAGGATCAGTCCCACGATAGAACAGCCATGTAGGGAAATGTTGGGAATAGGAGTAGAGGGAGTGTTCTGGATTTTGTTTTAGCTAAGTCTCTTTGTCCTTAATTCTCAATCACAGCTTTAGTGGTACTATTCTATCTTACTACCAAAATTCTTGTAATTTTTCCCCCTATTCCCTTGAAAATTTTACTCTAAAATTGGGCAGAGTGAATTATATAAGGTTCTAGGTGATGATCTGTGGTCACTCTTGGCAACGTTCATTAATTTTTTATATTCTCATACTAAAGAACACTGATAATCGCACAGCAATCAGTGTTACTTAGTTATAATATGTTAAGTGTTTCCTAGATATAATATTTTTCTTGCTTCAGAAATTCCTTCCTAT